GTCGAAGAATAGGGTAAGTTCAAGAGCTTAAGATTTGCCATTATAATATTAATGTGCAACCAAAATTAAAAATCATCCGTTCATCAAAAGAAATAGAAATAAAATCATCCATTCTCAAAGAAAAAAGAATTAAAATCATCTAAATATCTAATCTTCCGTACAGTATTTAAACCATAATCATGATGACCAAAAATTCCCATGATTGGTAAAAAGAGAAGAAATTTTCACGAACCATAGTTATCTCTAAGAATTGAAAGCCATTTTTCAAACTTTTCCAGTCTTCACGTTGCACAACAGTAGCACAAGACTTGTAAAAGCTGTATTATTATTATGGTGGGGCAAAAGGACAATGAAAGCACTAATTAAATTGACTTTAAAGCAACAAGGACCAAAAAGACATCCAAGTCTTGGCGAACGCGCTCGAGGGATCATGATCGAAATACAAAAATAGGCTGCTTTAAATTACTTACTTGGAATCATTATCTTTAGTGTAACTTCGGGGAAAGGTGTTTTATTTGCCTATCCATGGGACTATATATTAATGTACAAGCAAAATTAAATATCACATCTCATCTTCCATACAATATTGAAACCATCATTATGAGGGAAACTTTCTGTGCTATGCTTGTTCTAGTTGCTGTATTGTTCTCTGGAGCTGCAGAGTTTTGTTCCGGTCGGAACACAAGCTTTAGCTGTATAGAAACGGAGAGAGAAGCCCTCTTTAAGTTCAAACTTTGCTTCCATGATCCATCGTCTATGTTGTCTTCTTGGAAAGGCAATGACTATTGTGAATGGAGAGGAGTAGGCTGTGACAAAAATAGCAGATATGTTATCTCGCTTCAACTCAGGGGATCAATATCTGATCAACCTCAATTGTCCTTGATTGACGATGTAAAGGAGGTTGTTTCAAGTTTGGTCAAGCTGAGATACTTGGAACACCTAGACTTGAGCAACAATAATTTCAGTGCTAATCTTATTCCACCCTCCTTTGGCTTGATGAAGCAACTAAGGCATCTAAGTCTCTCTCATGCACAATTCAGAGGAAGAATTCCTAGTGAACTTGGAAATCTTACAAGGCTTTATGTTCTTGATCTTTCTCAGTATTATTATGAGGGATTGAAGGTTGATGATGACATTCAATGGATTTCTCGTCTCTCCTCTTTGCAACGACTTGATATGAGTGGAGTAGATCTAAGCCATGCCTCATTAAACTTGTTCCAGGTACTTGGCATGATTTCTTCATTATCATGGTTGAGTTTATCAGATTGTAGTCTAAAAAATTCTCACCTACCCTCTCATAACCATCTCCTTAATTTTACATTGCTTGGAAATATTCAACACTTTGATATTTCACAAAACTCTTTTCATGGTCCACTACCAATTTTTCTCCAAAACATGACTTCATTGACATTTATTGATCTTTCTAGCAATCAATTCAATGGGAGCATTCTAGATAGCATCAAGCAACTTTCTAAGTTAGAGAGCATAGATCTTTCATTCAATCAATTGAGTGGGAACATTCCAGATAGCATCGGGCAACTTTCTAAGTTAGATAGCATGGATCTTTCTGGCAATCAATTGAATGGGAGCATTCCAGATAGCATCGGCCAACTTTCTAGGTTAGAGGGCATAGATCTTTGGAGCAATCAATTGAGTGGAAGCATTCCAGATAGCATCGGGCAACTTTCTAAGTTGGAAAGCATAAATCTTTTTTACAATCAATTGAGTGGGAGCATTCCAAATAGCATTGGGCAACTTTCTAAGTTGGAAAGCATAGATCTTTTTGGCAATCAATTGAGTGGGAGCATTCCAAACAGCATCGGACAACTTTCTAAGTTAGAGAACATAGATCTTTCTGGCAATCAATTGAGTGGGAGCATTCCAAATAGCATTGGACAACTTTCTAAGTTAGATACCATAGATCTTTCTAGAAATCAATTGAGTGAGAGCATTCCAGATAGCATCGAGCAACTTTCTAAATTAAGGAGCATAGATCTTTCTGGCAATCAATTTAGAACAAGATTTCCTAAATGGCTTCAATTACAAAAGACAATACTGACAGTTGATCTCTCTAATGCTAGCATCTTAGGTCCTCTTTCAGAAAACATAGGTCATATGATGCCAATGTTGCAGAAATTATATCTTGCAAATAACCTCATGAACGGTTCAATTCCAAAGTCACTATACAACTTAAAATATTTGGAAGTACTTGACCTCTCAAACAATATGTTATCTGGAAATATTCCAAAGTCGCTATGCAATTCAAAATCTTTGATATTTCTTGATCTCTCAAACAATATGTTACCCAGAAGTATTCCTAATTGTTGGAGAAAGGATCAATCATTAATGTTTATTGATCTATCTTCTAATAATCTCTCAGGTGTATTTCCGAGCACAATGGCACGGCTTTCTTCTTTAAATATATTACACCTGAACAACAATAGTCTTCATGGGAAACTACATGTGGCCTTGAAAAACTTCACTTCTTTAGTGGTTTTGGATTTGGGTGAAAATAAATTTTGTGGAAATTTAACAAGCATTGTAGGGGGCGAGATCGGCAACCACTCTTTAAAGATTCTCCGACTACGAAAAAATTTGGTTTCCGGTTATATTCCTTTGGAACTATGCTCTTTCTCACAATTGCAAATTCTAGATCTTGCAGATAATAATCTGACAGGAAGGATTCCTCCTTGTTTTGGAAAGTTTCCGATTATGGTGAATGCAACACAATTGAGCAATGACCAAAATTGGGATGCTGAACCTTTCATGGAGCGTTTCCTACAGAGGGACCTCGGGAATTGGGATCAAGCACCTTTGAAGGAGGTTGTGAAAGGGAGATACCTTGAGTATAGACAAATAACTCAAAAACTTGAGATTATTATAGATCTTTCAAGTAACAATTTAATAGGATCTATACCGGAGGAGTTAATTTTCCTTAAGGATTTGCACAGTTTGAATCTGTCTTGGAATCATCTCTCAGGAAAAATTCCTGAGAAAATTGGACAAATGGATAATTTAGAATCTCTCGATTTCTCCAAGAATGGCCTTTCAGGAACAATCCCGAACAGCATGTCAAGTTTAACCAAGTTAAGCCACCTCAACTTGTCCTACAACAATTTGTCAGGACCAATTCCAACGGGTTATCAACTCCAAACACTTGAAGATCCAACCATGTACATAGGCAATCCTCAACTTTGTGGAGCTCCACTCCTGAAGAAATGCTCAAATGATATACTACCTCCGACAACCACCAACTTCAAGGACAACGATGAAAGTGAACTTAAAAGAATGTGGTTTTACATTGTCGTAATGGTAGGCTTTGCAATTGGATTTTGGGGAGTTGTGGGAACTTTGATATTTGTGAAAAGTTTGAGATATGCTTATTTTCAATGGGTTGATGATGTCCAACACTGGACACTTGTGGTTATAACATTGAAGGTGGCACAATTCAAAAAGATGTTCAATGGCAACCTGAGATGATCAGTGAATTATATATAGAGTATGTTGTTGTTGCTACATTTATTATTAAATTAGTTAGACAACCCTGTGTTGTAGGCTATGGTGTTAGGTCCAATTTTAAATGAACACATAAGTATTAGAGTTTGTAAAGTTTTCAATAATATAACATGCGCTATAGTTCTATATGTTTCATAAAAATAAAAATACATAGATTCTAACAAAAAATAGAGAATTCTATGCAAGGCCTTCGGATTGCATGGATTTCTATATTTCTAGTTTTGTTAAAAAAAGAAAGTAAAAAAAGGAAAGCAAAAAATGAAAGAATGAGATAAGAAGAATGGCTTAGCTAAGTATACAATAATAGCCAAAATAAAGTCCTCACATTCATGGTCAAAGTTTGGAACTTTCAATCACACAATCAAATTGCTTAATTCAGTGTCCAATGTAATGCAATTCTTACGTAAAATTTTCATGTCGTCAATATTTCCTAAAGACATTTTCATATTGCATAAGACATATCAATTATAGACTCATAAAACATTGTCAAGGCTAAATAGTAAAGTCCATTATGTTAGTTTAACCTTGAATAGCTAATTGATCCTTGCGATAAAAAATGAAACATAATTGATCATTTGTTGTTTCTAATTTTATGTCAACACTCTTGGTAGATAATATTTAAGACGCCTAAAACCTGAAGCACACAATATAGAAGAACTTGGATAAACTTCAAGAATAAAAAGAACATCTAGAAAAGGATAAGGATTAATACCTCGTGTCGCCTTTCTCCCAACAAACCATCTTCAGATAAAGGTACTAAAAAAGAGTATATCTAAGTGAGAAAAATATATAGATAATTCTAACGTTTTTCATTTGGAAGATGGTGTTGGTATGTTTTTGTAATAGAAAAATAAAATATAAGGGTGGTGTTTTTGTGGTCAAACCTTAGGTCTTTTTCATCCTGCACACTCATGAAGGTGTAGATACCACCACAGCATCTATGAAATGACTAACATATTTTCAACCTGCAAAAGGAGTTATATTAAGAAAATTATGCAACTAAAGCTACAGGAAACCTATGAAATAAGATTGTAGGTCTTCGTCATGTACATGATAATATGATACAAGTGTAGCCAAATTAAATAGCAAATCCTACTACTTAGACAATATTCTCAAAGTAAACAACTCTCACTACATATTTTTATTTCCATTCCCATCTGTACTACTTATTGAAGAGTTTAACATTTCAAGTCCAAAAGGCTTAAAATCAAAATTGTGAAACAGGCCAAGAAGGTGAACAGAGATATAGAGAATGAGAAATAATTATTTCCTTTTGTATTAATGGTGAAGATGAAGAAGAAGAAAATTGAAGGGGCAAAAAAGATAAATACAATTCATTGAAGAAATTTAAAGAAAATAAAATGAACTCACAACATCCAACCAATTGGTTAAGGCAAAGTTGGTGAAGAGGAAGAAGAAGACTTATACTCTAAACAAAAATCCTAAAAAATTGTAGAATCACAAAATGAAAATCTGCATACCTCAAAAGCTGTCTCTTTTCCAAACACCATCTTTCCAGTCATCAATTAAGGACCATTGAAAAGTCAATCTATGCTGTCCCCCTTTGAGATAATATATATGTTTGAAGTAGTGTTCAAGCATTTTGTATTTGACTTCAAAAGCAAGATGGCTGAATTAAGTTTACTTAAAATTAGTACATGTTCTCATTAAAAAAAAAAATGCTAATTGATGTTGATTCCTTACAGCTCTAAATTTACTATCATCTCCTCTTCTTAAAGCTCGGCAAAAGCCCCCTGTTTGCCCTTCAACTTTTTGAATTCGAGGCATTTTACCCCTCATATTATATTTGACTTTAAAGGCAAGATTGCTGAATTAAGTCTACTTAAAATTAGTACATGTTCTCATTAAGAAAAAAAAAAAAAAAAAGCTAGTACATGTTGATTCCTTACAACTCTAAATTTACTATCATCTCCTCTTGTTAAAGCTTGGCAAAAGCCCCCTGTTTGCGCTTCAATATATGAATTCAACCCTCAATATTTTCGAGTTTAGGGAAATGAGGTAAAATTTAATGTCGGAGGATCACATGCAGCACGTGTACTGTTAGCTTTTGTCATACATTCACATGTCAATGCCAACTTAGACTTTTTTGACATGTTGGCAAAGCCAGCATGGACCCTTTGCAACAATTTTTTTTTCATTCATCCCTTTCTTTTTTCCCTTTCCTTTTCTTCAACTTTTGCAAATCTATTCATCTCAACCCATCTCTATCGATTCACAGAAATGAAACAAAGTTGGGAAATCCACTAAATTCGGTAATATTTTCACTTGCCAATTGAAAACATTTTCCCCTTGTTAGTTCAATCTCCACAAATATAAGTCACAAGGCAGCTGCTCGCTGATTCTCCCTCTTCAAAGCTTTTGGCAATTTTCTTGTGAAACAAACTAGTAAAAGGGAGAAAACCCATCAGAAAATGATTACTATGAATTTGGGTTTATGGGTTTAGACCTACTTCGTCTCTAACCAAGCAACTAGATCCAGATCCATACCTATACCCACATCCTCAACTTTTGGTCCTTTCAAAAGATTCGATCTGTCAGTGGTGGCGTTCCCAACAAAATCTTGTGTTGTTTCTTTTGTTCCTTTTATCTCTTTTGTCCTTACCAAGGAAGATACCATCAAGGAAGAAGAGCAAGACCCACAAAACCTACCTTTGATTTGAAATCCTATATGGTCTAAAAGGTGAGTTATGTCAATTAAGCCTTGGACACTATCGTTTCACTCTAAGAACCTTTGAAGATCCATGAAGCAATGCGTGAGAACCTTGGCTAAGGGAAGCACGTGAGACCGATGCTTTGTATAACAATGTGTGAGCTCATTGGCGGGCATGAATCGACGGCCATGCCGATTGCTTGTGCCATCAAGATGATCCATACCATGTTGCTAATCCACGATGACCTCCCCTATATGGATAACGATGATCTTCGCCAAGGAAACCTACAAATCAAGCATGCTAGTGTGAAGGAACCCAGTGTGTGGGTTCCATGGAACCCAACGCCTAGGTTTCAAAGAACCCACACCTAGGTTTCAAGGAACCCAGTGACTGCTGGGTTCCATTAAACCCAGCAGGGTTTAGCTGTTAGCTTCCAAGGGGAAAGAGAAAGGGAAAGAGCAGGAAAATTCAAACTAAATTGTATCTTATTATCTTGTTATATTATAAAAATAGTTAAAATCTTCAACTAAATCTCTAAGAAATATCAAGTACAACTTATGCATTTGGTATTGGTTTTGGATTTTTTATTCATGAATTTCGCTGCAGATTTTCTTATTGTAGTTTGCTGGAATGCAAGATCAGTTGCATTCATCTGACTTTTGTTTTTTTTTTTCCAAATTATAAGTCAACAAGTAGGGCCCATAAGTTAAAATTACCAACGATAGAATTCCTACTCACAATAATTCCAAGCTGGACTTGTCACCATGTCAAAAAAGTCTAAGTTCATGTTGACATGTAATTGTATGACGGAATGCAATGGTGCACATGCCGAACATGACCCTCCAGTGTTAAAATTTGCCTCATTTCCTTAAACTCAAAAACATTGAGGGTAAATATTCATATATTGTAATATGAGGGATAAAATGCCTCAAATTCGAAAGGTTGAAGGGCAAACGGGGGACTTTTGCCCTTAAAGCTCTAATAACCATGTATAGCTAAGAAAGAGAAAATTTAAAATAAGATGAAGAAAAATACACATGTCAATCCATTATATCATATCTACTTCCCATCTCAAAGTTTTATTGCATTTGGCTGTCTCTATCTTCCAATTAAAAGGAGTTGATCCTAACTATAAAAGCAAAACATTGTGCATGGATCTAAACTCATCTTGTTAACATAAATAAGTTTCATTATTCATCATTTCAAGCTTAATATCTGATGAGCCTAAATTCTATACAATTTTACATGGCTTTTTAGTCATGAATTGGAGTCTTCTTGGAGTGATTTTATTTGGTTTTACATTGTTGTCATCATTCTTTGTAGGTGGAGGTTAAAATTGAAAAAATTAAGAGTAAATGGGTTGAAATGGCAAAAGCTGTAAATAGGAAAACCTGACTCCATAATTTCTCCATTTGAAGAGTAAAATTGAATTGTTGTCTTTCTACACACGTGCTGCACAAATTAGTGTACAGATGGGCCTTCAAATTGTTTGGGCTTTGATAAGGCTCAGAAGGGCATGATCAGTATAAAAAGGAAGAGGGAATGGGTGGAAAAAGCATCGAGGAAGCAGCCAACAGAGACGCAAGGCGAGTTTGAGGCATAGCAAGTGAGATTTCTATGCGAGTGACGGTTGAACCAAAGGCAGCCCACTAGGGACACTTCAATTGAAAACAAGGGGACGAGCGCAATAGTGAAGACTCCGAGAGTGGTTCCAACGTACCAAGAATTGGGTTTTGCTTTCCTGCGCTTTACTTTTTCTTTTGTTGAATATGGAATTATGGTTCATCAATTTAATCTCACATTTTATCATGTTTATTATGAACTAATTTTGTCATCTAAGGCTACGATGTAGCCTAATCAATTTGATATAAAATTTCATGATTTTTTATACTTTCAAGGTTTATTATTTTATATAGAGTATATATTATTGTTCTTAATGCTTTTTAATGATTGGCCAGTATTAAAATTAATTTGGAGAGCATAATTGAGATCGAGAGGAGATTTTATGCAATAGCTTCTACTAATATATACCATAAATTGAATGAAAGCCAGAGATGGACCAACGTGATTCGTGCAGTGTTAGTGATAAGTGGATTTAATTTTCTACGTAAACTAAGGAGTTTCACAGAATATAATGCATCTTTATCTATTGAAATTCACATAGAGATATAGTGGGTTAATATGTGAAGATATGTTTGGTATAACTTGAGAAAGTGTATCAAATAGGATAGGAAATCCCGCTGTCACATAAATAATAAATACCTTGGAAGTATATTAATCTAAATTCTATCTTTGTTGATTATGGTGAAATCGGATGCCTTAGAATTTTGATTCTTGGTGTTGCTCAAAGTTAATTTAGTTTTTCTTTAATTTTGCATTTTTAGTTAATTACTTTATTCAAATCATTTAATTTTAATTGTTCAAATAAAATTAGAATTAGTTAATCTTGGTACTTAATTAGTCTACAGTCTTTGTGGGACGATACTCTATTTTCATCATTATATTACTTGAATGGACTAGTATAGTTGCTAGAGTGGAATTAGCTCATCAAAGTTTTTGGAGCCGTTGCCGGGGACTATATTGATTCTAATTAATATCAAGCAGATTAATTCTAGTTTTAATTTGGATTTTTTTTTTTTTTTTGTTTAGCAAGTGTGCAAGTTAGTGCATGACTCATTTTGAAAACACAGAACTTGCACCTTTTGATCCTAAGATTGAGCGCACTTTTCATCAATTGAAAAATCAGAGGACAACACTAGTTGTTAAGCAAATTGACACCATGGCTAAAGATCCAGTAGCAAATCAAGCTATTCGAACATTGAAGGAATATGCTCCACCTTCAATTGAAGGGACTGTTTCAAGCATAAGGAGACTAGCTATCCAAGCAAATAACTTTGAAATTAAGCTAGCAACAATTCAGATGATTCAACAATATGTGCAATTTTGTGGGTTGCCAAGTGATGATCTTAATGCTCATATCACTCACTTTTTAGAAATTTGTGACACTTTTCAGTATAATGGAGTTTTTGATGATGTTGTTAGACTTAGGCTTTTTCCATTCTCTCTACGAGATAAGGCAAAGAGTTGGTTAAGTTCTTTACCTGTTGGGTCGATCACCACATGGAATATGATGGCTCAAAAATTTTTAAGTAAGTTTTTTCCTCATGCTAAAACTGCCAAGATGCGTAACAATATTGCCACTTTTTTGCAGTTGGATATGGAGTCATTATATGAGGCATGAGAGAGATACAAAGAGCTACTCAGGAAGTGTTCACATCATGGTCTACCTGTATGGTTACAGGTACACACTTTTTATAATGTTTTATTTCTTAATAATCGTACCATGATTGATGCAGCTGCTGAAGGATCATTAATGAGTAAAAATCCTGATGAGGCTTCTAACCCTTATAGAGGAGATGGCTTCAAATAGTTATCAATGGGGTTAAGAAAGATCACACATTAGGGAAAATGCTGGAATTCATGGGTTTGATGCCTTTACTACTTTGGCAGCACAAATTGAGGCTTTAAACCAAAAGTTAACTAGGATGAATGTCTCAACTATACAAGCCACAAGCATTAATTGTGACTTGTTTGGGGGAGCACATCCTAGTTCTGAATGTCTAGAAGGTAATTCTTTTGTTTCTTCATCTAAACATACTAATTTTGTTGGTTTTAATAAGCAGCAAAATAATTTATATTCCAATACATATAATCCGGGATGGAAAAATCATTCAAATTTTTCATGGAGTAACAACCAAAATATAGTAAAACAACCTCTAGGATTTTCGCAACCACTTGAAAAAAAGTCAGATTTGGATGATTTGTTGAAAAAGTTCATTGCTTCTAAAGAATCAAGGTTTCAAAGTCAAGAAGTAGCAACCAAGTGCTTGGAAGCTACAGTCCAGAACCAAGGTTCATCGATTTGGAATTTAGAGGTTCAGGTAGGTCAATTAGCTAATGTAGTTTTTGGAAGAGCACAAGGAGCTTTACCAAGTAATACTGAGAAAAATCCAAAGGAACAAGTAGAAGCCATAACATTGAGAAGTGGGAGGCAAATTGGAGAAGAAGAAAGCTCAGACAATGAGGGTGAAAAAGAGAAGGTTCCAAAGGAAGCGAAAAAATTTCAAGTGTCATCTAAGGAATCTGAAGAAGTCAAGTCTTATGTGCCTCCAATTCCTTTTCCACATGGATTGAAGCAACATAAGCTAGATAAACAATTTGTTAAGTTTCTTCATATTTTTAAGAAATTGCACATTAACATTCCTTTTGCAGATGCTTTAGCTCAAATGCCTAGCTATGCTAAATTCTTAAAGGAGATCTTATCTAACAAGAGGAAATTGGAAGAGTATGAGACTGTGAAGCTCACTGAAGAATGTTTTGCAATTCTTTAGAATAAGCTTCCCCTAAGCTAAAGGATCTAGGGAGTTTTACAATCCCTTGCACAATTGGAAATTGTCATTTTGATAAAGTTTTGTGTGATTTAGGAGCCAGCATTAATCTGATGCCATTTTTTATTTTCAGGAAACTTGGGCTTGTTGAAGCAAAAGCAACAATAGTATCTCTTCAATTGGCAGATAGATCTATCAAACATCCATGGGGTATTATTGAAGATGTCTTGGTAAAAGTAGATAAATTTATCTTTCCTGCTAATTTTATAGTTTTGGATATGGAAGAAGACCATGAGGTACCTCTTATCTTAGGTCGACCTTTTCTAGCCACTGGTAGAACTTTAATTGATGTGCAGCAAGGAAAATTGATGCTTATGGTGGAAAATGAACAAGTTACTTTTAATGTTTTTGATGCCATGAATACCCATCAAATATTGACTCTTGTTTTATGATGGAAACAATTGTTGAAACAGTTAATGAGATGTTGTAGGAAGATTGTCCAGACCTGCTAGAGGCATGTGTTGTTCATTCCAAAGGCATTACTACTGAAAATGAGGACGTTAAGGAGTATGCATTTCATTTGGAAGCTTGCCCACCATTCTTGAACTCAAAGGAGTCAAGTATTCAAGATTTTAGAGCTAATATGCCTTGGCTTAAACCATTTGAAGAACCTCCAAAACTTGAACTCAAGCCCTTACCTGTTCATTTAAAATATGCTTATTTAGATGAAGATCTTTCTTTGCCTATAATTATTTTTTCTTATTTGACAGGTTTAATGGAGGAAAAGCTTCTTCAAGTTTTAAGGGAGCACAAACGAGCATTTGGGTGGACAATAACGGACATAAAAGGAATTAGTCCCTCAATTTGCATTCACAAAATACTCATGGAGGAAAGCTACAAATCGAGCATTCAACCACAAAGGCGTTTAAACCCACACATACGAGAGGTAGTGAATGCTAAGGTAATAAAATTACTTGATGTTGGCATTATTTATCCTATTTCTAATAGCTCATGGGTAAGTCCAGTCCAAGTAGTTCCAAAAAAAGGAGGTATGACAGTTGTTATGAATGACCATAATGAATTAATTCCTACTAGGACAGTAACTGGTTGGTATGTTTGCATAGATTATAGGAAATTGAATGATGCCACTAGAAAGGACCATTTTCCTTTACCTTTTATTGACCAAATGTTGGCAAGACTTGCTGGACATGCTTTTTATTGTTTTTTAGATGGTTATTCATGATATAATCAAATTCATATTACACCCGAAGACCAAGAAAAAACCACTTTCACTTGTCCTTATGGTACTTTTGCTCATAGAAGAATGCTTTTGGTTTATGTAATGCACATGCTTCTTTTCAAAGATGTGTGATGGTAATTTTTCATGACATGGTAGAGAAAATTATCGAAATTTTCATGGATGATTTTTCTGTGTTTGGTGACTCTTTTGATGCATGCTTGAAACATTTGGACTTGGTTTTACAAAGATGTGAAGAGACTAACCTTGTTTTGAATTGGGAAAAGTGTCACTTTATGGTACAGGAGGGTATAGTCCTTGGACATAAAGTTTCTCAAAAAGGTATTGAAGTTGATAGAGCAAAGGTAGAAGTGATTGAGAAATTTCCCCCACCATCTTCCGTGAAGGCTGTGAGGAGTTTCCTTGGACATGTAGGATTTTATAGGAGATTTATTAAGGATTTTGCTAAAATAGCTAAACATCTTTCTAATCTCTTAGCTAAGGATATTCCTTTTAATTTTTCTGATGAATGTTTGCATGCTTTTAATATTTTGAAGGAAAAGCTTATAAATGCACCCGTCATGGTGGCACCAGATTGGGATCTACCTTTTGAGCTTATGTGTGATGCAAGTCATAGTGTTGTAGGAGCTGTCTTGGGATAAAGAAAGAACAAAGTTTTTCAAACCATATATTATGCCAGCCACACCCTTTTAGAAGCTCAATTGAATTATACAAACACAAAAAAGGAACTTTTGGTGATAGTATTTGCTTTTGATAAATTTCGTTCTCATTTGATTGCTAACAAAGTTGTGGTTTATACTGATCATTCTGCTCTTAAGTATTTGCTTGCAAAGAAGGATGCAAAACCAAGGTTAATTAGATGGATTTTACTGCTACAAGAATTTGACCTAGAGATTAAAAACAAGAAGGGGATTGAAAATTCAGTTGTTGATCATTTGTCAAGGCTTAAGAATCTTAGCCAAGAGGTAAGTGCACGCCCGATTAAGGAAGAATTTCCAGATGAGCAACTGTACACTATCAAGGTGACATCTTCTCCCTGGTTTGCTGACTTTGCAAATTATTTGGCATGTAATATTCTTCCTCCTGATTTATCTTATCAACAAAAAAGGAAATTCTTTTCTCATGTGAAAAATTATTGTTGGGAAGAACCTTTTCTGTATAGATTGTGTGTAGATCAGATTGTTAGGAGATGTGTCCTTGAAGAAGAGGTATCTAGCATACTTCATCATTGCCATACTCGTGAAGCAAGTGGTCATTTTGGAGCCACCAAAACAGCAGCTAAGGTTCTACAATCAGGTTTCTATTGGTCTTCTATTTTTAAAGATGCATATTCTTTTGTTGTTTAATGTGATCAGTGTCAAAGAAGTGGAAATATTTCTAGGAAAAATGAGATGTCTTTGAACAATATGCTTATATGTGAGTTATTTGATGTTTGGGGTATTGATTTTATGGGACCTTTTCCATGTTCTTTTTCTAATCAATATATTTTAGTAGCTGTGGATTATGTGTCTAAATGGGTAGAGGCTGTAGCATTACCCATTAATGATGCCAGGGTAGTTGTTAAGTTCTTGAAGAAAAATATTTTTACAAGGTTTGGCACTCCTAGGGCAATCATTAGTGATGGGGGAAAACATTTTTGTAATAAACAATTTGAGGCACTTTTAAGTAACTATGGAGTGACTCATAAAGTTGCAACCCCATATCATCCAAAGACTAGTGGCCAAGTTGAGGTTTCAAATAGAGAATTCAAAAGAATTCTAGAAAAGACTGTTAATTCTTCTAGAAAGGATTGCTCATTTAAACTTGATGATGCGCTCTGGGCATATAGAACAGCTTTTAAACTCCTATTGGTATGTCTCCATATAGGTTAGTTTTTTTAAAAAGCATGTCATTTACCTGTTGAACTTGAGCATAGAGAATATTGGGTGATGAAATTTTCAAATTTTGAGATGCAAGCTACAGGTAAAACAAGACTTTTACAATTGAATGAAATGGATGAGTTTTGCCAGAAAGCTTATGAGAATGCCAAAATTTACAAAGAACGCACTAAAAAGTGGCATGACAAACACATTTTGAAGCGTGAGTTTGCAGTTGGTGATAAAGTGTTGCTCTATAACTCTCGACTTATGCTTTTTCCAAGGAAATTAAGGTCCAAATGGTTAGGTCCTTTCACGGTGACAAGAAATTTTCCTTATGGTGTGGTGGAAGTATCTCATGATACAAAAGGCACATTTGTGAATGGTCAATTGTTGAAACCCTACATAGATGGCAGATACAACAAGCATGTGATGGCCATTGAGTTACATAATCCAACTTGATCATCCAAGAACAGTCAAGCTATTGACTATAAATAAGCGCTTCTTGGGAGGCAACCCAAGCATTAAATTCTATTTTCTTTTCTTTTCTTTTATCTTTTGTTTTTTTATTTTATTTTGATATTGTAGATTTCATTATTTAATTTGTTTTCCTATATGACCCAGGTTGATGCAAAAGTATGAAGGAAATTCAACACTCATTGAGATTAGAAGCATCTCAACCCAAGTTTCAACTTCTAATGTTCAACTGCTAATATGGGGAAGTTTCTCTTCTACTTATAATGCATTGAAAATGGTGATAGCTTGAGTTTAGGGGTTGAAAACTGTTTTTGGCTGTTAAATATCTATATATTGTGCTTGATTATGCTTTTACCATTGTTGATTTTAATTAAAAAGGAAATTCCTTGCTATTGAAATTTGGTAACAAAGCTCTCATTTCATGACATTGTGTTAATTGTTATGCCCTGCTTATTCCTAGCATTGTTTTTAGCATGAAATTGAAGGATTTTGGATTAAATATTAAACTGCTCATTCTTAGCAGAGGAAGTTCTAATTGCTTCTTAAGCCTAAAACTTGTTTGTGGTTTTTGAGCAGGCTGTCTATGGGTTCCAAGCAGGCTCAGTGATGAGGGAATTACAATTTGTTGGGTCATGCATTAAAAAAATAAAAAAATAAAAAAAGAGGGTGCACATCACTTATTATGTTCGGTTGTTTTTTTTTTTTTTCAACTTTGGGGTGAATTTGATTTGCTTAATTGCGTATTCTGGCTTATCAACTGTTGTTCCTTAATTTTTGCCAAGTCGTTAAACAAGTTTGGGGGACAAGATTATGAAAACTTGCATGCTAGAAGCCCTTTAATTGAAGACAATTCAACTCCAGAACTCAAATCTCAAATTTTAAAGTGTAGAACCTGAGAAGTCTCTTTTCTTATACTTTTATTTTACATTGAGGACAATGTTTGATTTAAGTTTGTGGGAGAGAATAACTTTTAAGTGTCCATTCTTATATTAGTTTGCATATTTGCATCACATGCATTTTTTTTTTTAGCAATTAGGGTAATTTTTTTAGGAGTTGGTTCAATTAGTGTCAAGGAATTAAATATTCTTGAGTTGGAAATCTGAAAACTTTTAAAATTTTTGAATCTTAAGGAGATACAAAATCTGAAAAATAACATCATTGTGATAAAGTCTAAGTTCATGAGTATTATAATTAATTGATGCGCTAAAATTACCCTGGCAAGTGTACTAGTCACTCCAAGTAATATAATAATGAGAAGAGTGTCGAATTCACGAGGATTGTGTTTGATTAAGTACCAAAATAATTAATCCAAATTTATTTGAACAATCGAAAAGGAAGAAAATTCAATTAAAAAATAATAAAAAGAAAATAACAATTAAAATCAAACTAATCAAGATATGAGGTACTAAGGCATCAATTTCACCATAATCAATTAATATAAATTCTGGATTATCAAATTGTTGAGTGTTATAGTGTTATTGCATGTGATGGCGGATTTCCCTAAATTACTTAACTAGCTTTCTCAAGTCAAGTTAATCTTTTACTGGTTTATTAAACTAATCATATCTATATGTAATTTTAAACAAACTAATGAGCATTAAATTCTATGGAAACCTCTAGCTTAAGAATGGGGAGCTACTACCTCTCTTTTCTTCCTCCACTACCATATGTGAGCTAATTACCTTTCGGTCTCATAGTCTAACACACGGTTTATATTATTATTGGTATAATTTACGCAATTCTTTCTCAAGTTCATGCATAAATCACTATATCAATTGAAAGATGATCAAGTTTTCAATGCATTAAATTCAATAATATAAACTCTTCATGCGAGTAACTTTAATTGAAAATATAAAAATCAAAAAATCTATATTAAATTGATTAGGCTACATCATAACCTTAGTAAAATAAATTAGTTCATAATAAAAATAATAAAATCTAAAATTATAGTCATGAACATAAGAATGTCTAAGGAAAAACAAAACTTGATTTGAGGTAATTGAAATACTTGATTTTCTATTATTGATGGATTCTCTATCTTGATCTCCAAGAATGTCCAAAAGAGGGTTGCCACCAACCTCCACAAAACTCCCCTAATTCTGAATTTGGATGGGTATTTATAGGATTTTACCCTAGTTGGAATAGAAGTAGGACTTGAAGCAGAATAGGAAAGTTGAAATTTGGATGCTGAACGCATGGTATCGACACTCGGAATTACGTGTCAATACAAAACAGGAAACAGAAAGTCTAATTCTGGACGCTTAATGCATGGTGTTGACACCTCGATTATGTATCGACACTAAACCCGTGTCGAGTTTCTGGTCTCTCTTTGCAATTTCTTCAATGGTAAAATGGCAAATCTGGTTCTCCAGCTTTCGTATGATGAGCACTTAGATACCAAACCTCAAGATTCATTCATTGAAGTCCCAAACAGACGCCTTTCTTCTTGCAATTCAATCCCTCAACTTTCAAAAGATGTTAAATTAATCTCAAAAACTCGTATTTTATGCATTCAAGTCCTTTTCTGCTCAAAGATTGAAAACCATGTAAAACTCAGTAAAATCTCATAAAACTCATCCAAATATCAATAACAACAAGGCAACAATTCCACATTAATATATATACAAATTCAACTTATCAATAATTCAATTGAGCACAAGTTTGTGGTGAGAAGTTTAGAAGGAAGACTTAGAGCACCTTAAAAAAAAAAAGGAGAAAAAGAAGCCAATAAAAAAGAGTTAGTTAGTTTCTACTCCAATGTTTCTAGTTGCTTAGTAACTGGGGGTTAGACATGAGACCCATGTCAGCTTTCACGTCAAACTGTGACTTGAATATGAGTATGCAAAGCACTCTAAATTTATGATTTGTTGAGTAACCAGGTGCTTTCATCACAAATGTTACATGTGCTGCACAAATCAGTGTACAAATGGGCCTTCAAATTGTTTGGGCTTTGATAAGGGCTTTTTAGAAGGGCATGATCAGTATAAAAAGGAAGAGGGAATTGGTGGAAAAAGCATCGAGGAAGTAGCCAATAGAGACGCAAGGCGAGTTTGAGGCAAAGCAAGTGAGATTTTTGTGTGAGTGACAGCGAAACCAAAGGCAACCCACTAGGAACACTTCAATTGAAAACAAAGTGACGGGGACAATAGTGAAGACTCCGAGAGGTTCTAGTGTACCAAGAATTGGGTTTTGCCTTCCTACGCTTTACTTTTTCTTTTGTTGAATATGGAATTATGGTTCATCAATTTAATCTCAAATTTTATCATGTTTAGTATGAACTAATTTAGTCATCTAAGGCTACGATGTAGCCTAATCAATTTGATATAAAATTTCATGATTTTTTATACTTTCAAGGTTTATTATTTTATATAGAGTATATATTATTGTTCTTAATGCTTTTTAATGATTGGCCACCATTAAAATTGATTTGGAGAGCATA